TAAAGGTGTTCTGTGTGAACCAAACTGGTGTATGGATGATTGAGACTAAGCCACGTTACTGTAACTTATTCACTTGATCATTTTATTTTCCCTGTGTGTTATTTAAATAAACCTTATTCCTTTGTTTGTTTAAAAATCCATTCCTGGTCTGTGTGACTCCTTACAGGGAATGGTTGGTGGCAGCTTAGTGAAACTGTGGCATATCCCAGTAGGTCTGGGATATATATATATTTGGAAAAAAACACAACTAGAAATATGTATTTTCACAATGTGTTTACCAGAATCAGCCACTAAAGGGAGCCAGAGACCATGCAATGTATATTTGTTGTTGAAAAGTACATTTAAAAAATCTGGAATTTTAAAAAAGATGGTGGGGGAACTGCGAGTGAAGGTCTTAGTTTTATACAATACTGGGAAGACTCTCTGGGGTGGAAAGGTCTCATTGAGCAACATCAAAACATAGAAACTGGATCAGAATGAGAATGTGGTGAAGGAGTCTTCACATCCCCAACCAGGAGCTCCAAAGCAGATCAGTGGAGCTTCCTGCAAAGTTAGGTGAAATGAGGAGTAGAGGGTATGGGTGTGTTTTCTGAGGGATGCAGTGTAGGGCAGAAACACCGTAATGGACGACCCCCTTCAGGGCTGAGCACAGCCAGGGTTTGTAGCTGGGAGAGGTCCTGCCAGTCTCATGATCAGGTTGAGTTCAAGCAGCCGGGAAAGGGTCTGTTGCCAAGCAAACATCACATGCAACAGAGTCAAGGAGTGCCTGCCGTGTGGAGAGCCAAAATAGTCCTACAGCAAGGGCAGACGATACCTTTTGTTACACCACCAAAAAATAGGAAACAGTTGCTAGCTTTCGACCTAACTAGTCTTCATCAGGCTGTACACCAATATGAAGTGTTCTGCTGATTTTCTGTGGATATTGCAGAAGTCATGGGAGATGGCCGTGGCAGGTCTGTTACTTAAAAACACGCTCCGGAACGAGCATGAATAAAGACTATGTAGGGTTTGATCCTCCCTGTACCTTTCAGGACCCTCTTTAACTTTGCGTCAATGATGTGATCTGTGTTTCCAGATCTCTAGGTTTTCCTTTTTAAGTAAATGGGACAGACACAAATTGGGGGGGGGGGCAGGAGGCTGAACTTTGACTTATCCCCTCAAAGCCCAAACAACAGCATCCTTCCACAAACCATACACACAGAGTTCTAATCTTGTAGCAACATTTCAGTAAAACTTGCATCCTGCAATGAAGGGAAAAGCCGAATTCCAGCAGAAGTGACTGTAGAGCATACAAGGTAACGAACAGAAAACAAATTAAAAATGGGCTTCTGAGCATGTCTGAATGGTGTGTCCTTGAAGCCATGAGAATGAATCTCTGAGATATCCCAAACCACAAGCAGAGCTACAAATACAGGCTGGACAAGCCAACGAGGATTCTAAACCCTACATCTTCCAGGGTCACCTCCACAATCTATGCTCTGCAGTTCAAAGCTCCCAGTATTCAGATTCCTAGCCAGATAGTTTGTTGTTGTTAAGTCGTTAAGTCGTGTCTGACTCTTCGTGACCCCATGGACCACAGCACGCCAGGCCCTCCTGTCTTCCACTGCCTCCCAGAGTTGGGTCAAATTCATGTTGGTCTCTTCGGTGACCCTGTCCAGCCCTCTCGTCCTCTGTCATCCCCTTCTCCTCTTGCCTTCACACTTTCCCAACACCAGGGGCTTTTCCAGGACGTCTTCTCTTCTCATGAGATGGCCAAAGTATTGGAGCCTCAGCTTCAGGATCTGTCCTTCCAGGGAGCACTCAGGGTTGATTTCCTTCAAAATGGAAAGGTTTGTTCTCCTTGCAGTCCAGGGGACTCTCAAGAGTCTCCTCCATCACCACAATTCAAAAGCACGAATTCTTCGGTGGTCAGCCTTCTTTATGATCCAGCTCTCACTTCCATACATCACTACTGGAAAAAAAAACATAGCTTTGACTATGCGGACTTTTGTTGGCAAGGCAATGTCTCTGCTTTTTAAGATGCTGTCTAGGTTTATCTCTCCTTGCTGTTCTTTGAAAATTTGCATTCCATTTTCTGTAACTTTCCAGATATACCTTGATTCAATCATCACTCCAAATGGAGATTGCAGCCAGGAAATCAGAAGAATGAGACTCGGAAGGGCAACAATGAAAGAATTAGAAAAGATCATAAAGTGTAAGGATGTGTCACTAGAGACCAAGGCTGGACTGCCAGAAAGACGAACATCTAACCAATGTCTAATCAAGCCTGAACTCCCTCTGGAGACAAAAATGTTGACACTGAGGCTGTCGTACTTTGGGCACATCACGAGAAGGCAGGATTCTCTGGAAAAGACAATAAGGTTGGGAAAGATGGAAAGCAGCAGGAGAAGAGGAAGGCCCAATATGAGATGGATTGACTCCCTCGAGGAAACCACAGGGTTGAGTTTGCAAGACCTGGGCAGGGCTGTTGCAGAGAGGAGATTTTGGAGGTGGCTCGTTCATAGGGTTGCCCTAACGTAATGGTGGCTTGACGGTACATAACAGCACAAACAAAGCCGGCTCCCCACATCCAAAATGTTTTCTTTCCAGTCTGATGTACAAGGAAAATCCGAACCACCAGTTGTTACATCATGCTGCCTTCTCCCGAGGTGATTGGCCGAGGGGTTGCCATGGTGAGTGATAATACAATGGCATTCACAGGAGCTATTTTTCTCCCATCTGCTTGGTGTCATTTCTGGACTGGGAAACTAGATGAAAAACACGTAGAGGAAAACAAAGCCTCAAAAAGAGCCACAGCCGAAAGCTCGGTCTGTTTTCCTGCCCATTATTTGGATTTCTAGACTTCTAATGTTGAGAATGGCTTAAATCTCAGAAAGTGAGTGGAAAGGAGAAATGGTTTCAATTGGGAACAGACACTGGAATTAGGGTGGAAGGTTAGAAAAAATCTAATTATGCCTTCCAATTATTACTCAGTCGTGGTGTCAAGAGGAAACGACCCAGGTGGGCACAACGGGGTAAAACTGACCCCTCTTGCTAACCCCGGCTATTTTGCGGTGTAACAGAGGTTTCCATGTTTAATGCAGTGTTTTAACGAGGAATTTATTAAGCTAAGACATAGAGCGGATTTATGGAAATAGCCCAGTCTCTTCGATATTGTAGGGAAGACAACAGTCTGATAGGGGCCGCTTATAGTCACCTGCTGCCTTGTGCTCCTTTATTGAAAGGAAGATGGGATAGAAATACAGTAAATAAAAAGCAAATAAAATAATGGAAGTGACACCGGGTGACCGTTCCTTCTCTACACATGCCCTCCATTTCATAGGGTGCATTTAACAGGATAAAATTTTGAAATCTATCAAAACCTGCATATATTCAAAGTTGGGAACAGCTACCTTTTTGAACTACAACTTCCAGAATCCCCGTGGCCAAGACGACCAGTGGACTCTGCAAGCTGTGTGCCAAAAAAGTAACCGAGGGTACGGTTACCCGTCAAAAGACTCCTGAGTTTGTGTCGGGTTTAGCATGCTTGAAATCGATTTTAAAATATCCATTTGCACAACATACAGCTGAGTGTGCGGGGTTTCTTTGGCCAAAAAAAGTGTGGGTTTTTAAATTCAGAAACTGAGGTGTTTTAAACAACCTTGAGGGGTGGTTTATTCAACTTGATGTGGTGATGGGAGACAGTTTTGCAGATACCCCAAACTGCCAGAAAGACAAACAAGAGGGTTCTGGATCATAATCAAACCTAAACATTTTCCGGAAGCAAAAAAATTGTTGAAACTGAGGTTCTCTTACTTTGGGCACATCCTGAGAATTCAGGATTCTCTGGAAAAGGCAATCACCAAAAACAGACAATGGGAATCAAAACATTTAGAGGGTTACAGCTGCTCGTTGGAGGTAAAATAAATGGGGGGGGGGAGAAGTGTAGGAAGGAGACCCCACACAGCCAAGGAAGCTCTTGAGTAGAAGCTGCTGTACAAGTAATAAGAGTTCATTTTCACATTGCATTTATCATCTTATCATCGTTCTCTGCAGCAACAGCACTGAGGTCAAAACTCCCGGGCAGCCAGATCTCATGCTGACACACACTTCCATGCGCTCAAAGCTGACCGATGCCAAAAGCCGACTTAACGTCTGAGACACCATGAAGACCCCAAAGGTAAATCCAACCAACCCCCCATTTTTTGCCTCCTTTGGTGAGGTTCCGAAAAACCCTCCGTCCAAAGAGACTCTTCTCTCTACTCCTGCAGAGCACAGAGCTTTGTCTCGGACTCCTCCTGTTGGGTTGCCCCCAAAGAGGACGGGGTGAGAAAACCTTCTTCAGTGCGTACTCCAGTGGTCCATCCACAGGTGGCAGTTTTCCTTTAAAGATGGACCAGCTGAGACCTTTTGGCCAGGTGAAGAAGCCGTGAAGCTAGCCTTTTCTTCCACTTCTTTCTCGTATTTCTTATCCATTACTCCTCCTTGTTTTTATTCCAACAAACCGTTGGCAACATGCACTCCTCACTTCCTCATCGCTGTCGTCCTTCCAAGGATCGCTCATGACCAGCGCCCTGAGGAGTAGGACAGCCTGAAAAGAGAACTGAGTGGCTCTCGTGGAATCAGAAGGTTCCACGTGCGCATCCGTTGGTCTCTTACATCTGGCTTCTTGGGTGTCATGGTAGCAGAACCGGCCCAGTCGTTAGACAGACTGTGTGCTGTCACCTCAGGGGGTAGAGTCTGCTTTTCCTGAACTGGCAGGAAAAATTACTTTTTAATTCTCTTTTGCCTGTCTGCCTACCCCCTCTGGGATGTGATGGCGCTGCGGGTTAAACCGCAGAAGCCTCTGTGCTGCAAGGTCAGAAGACCAGCGGTCGTAAGATCGAATCCACGCGATGGAGGGAGCTCCCGTCACTCGTCCCAGCTCCTGCCAACCTAGCCCTTCGAAAGCATGTAAAAATGTGAGTCGATAAAGAGGTACCACCTCGGTGGTAAGGTCACAATGTTCCATGTCCAGTCGTGCTGGCCACGTGACCACAGAAACTGTCTTCGGACAAACACTGGCTCTACAGCTTGGAAATGGGGATGAGCACCACGCCCTAGAGTCGGACACAACTGGACTCAATGTCAAGGGGAAACTTTACCTTTACCTTAAACCCCTCTGCCACTCAGGGACAAGGGATTCTGGGAGGGATATTCTGGGAGTTCTGGAAAGATTTGAGAAGTGGTTTCCTATTGCTGCCATCCAGGGAGTTTCCGTGGTCTCTTGAAACCAAGCCACCACACCACACTTGCTCTTACATCTATAATACAATAAACTAAATCTTTAGTTTATGAATGTACTAATAAGAGCTTGTAGTTTAGCTGTTTATAGCATGTTTGATAAGGTATGGCATATAGCTATCTGGGTAGCTCAATGGTTTAGAGGTTGGGAGTTTGATTTCCCTACTAGGTCTCCAGCCTGGGTGGCCTTGGGCCAGCTGCACACAGTCCCAAGGCACCCCCTAGAGGAGGGGAATGGGAAAACACCCTCGGAGTATTCTCTACCTGGAAAACTCTAAAAACTAGAGGGGGGAATGGGAAAACACCCTCTGAGTATTGTCTACCTGGAAAACTCTAAAAAGGGTAGACATAAATCAGAATTTGACTTGATTGCACTTAAGATATAAATCAGAATTTGACTTGATTGCACTTAATTATTATACCGTAGGCTGGCTGTAGCAATGTAAAACAATATATAGTCGGAGAAAAAGTTGGACTTTTAAAAAAAAACACTGCATCTATTCACATTTTGCAGAAGAATATCCAGCTTTAAAGGAGAAAACTGAAACAGGAAAAAAAATGTCGGTGGAAGAGCTGTCCGCAAACAATCAAAACCTTCGGCAGCAAATTGGTGAGCTGAGAGAAACCGTCGCCTGCCTTGATTCCGAAAACCGGGAGTTGCTGGTCGAGAACGGATGCATCAAAGACCAGAACCGTTGTCTCCAAAGCGCAGCCGACAGGTTCAAGGCCATGATTGAGGAGACGCAGAAAAAGGTGGAAGACATCCGAGGGCGGATGGACGTGGCCCACCAGAAGATCCATGAACTGGAAGTCCAGAACCAGTCCTTGGTGGACGCCAACAAAGAGCTCAGCAGGGAACTGCAGGAGGTCTCCTCGCAGATGGCCCTCTTCCGAGACTACAAAGCCGCTCAGGAGAAAGACCTGCTGGAGATGCAGAACCTCTCGGCAGAGGTCCGGAAGTACCTGAAGTTCCTGGAAGAGCGTCTGGAGGAGACGGAGCGCCAATACCACCTGGAGAAGAGCCGGTCCTCCGAGCTGCGGGACAAAGTGAGCGCTCTTCTCCAGCTGCGGGAGACGCAGAGGAAAGACATCAAAGACCTCCAAGCCCAGCTGGAGACGTGCGTCCAGCAGGCCACCATCCTCCGGCTGGACCAGGAGAACCGGCTGCAACTGGGCTCCCTGATGCACGAAATCGTGGAGGCCAAGCTGGTGGACGTGGCGTTGAACCAGTCGAAGACGAGGAAGGTTCTGCAGTGGCTCTGGAGTCTGGGCAAAGTCCTGGTCATCCTGGTGGTCGGCTGCAGCATCCTCTTGTTCCTGGTCTTGACGTACACCTATTTTTTCAACCAGGGGTTCATCTCCGAGACGCTGCTGCTGTTCCTCAGCGAACAGAACATCGAAAAAATCGCTCAGGGGTTCTCTCATTACCTGATCTGGAGGAATGAGGGCCTCCTGCCCTTTTGAAAAGCAACCCGTGCAGGTTTCCCCAAACAGGCCAAATCAATTTTTTTCTCTCTCTCTTGGAGTTCCTACCAATTGATCACAACAGTAGAAATTTATGGATTTAAAAACATTGTAAGAATACACATGGAGTGGTGTGATTTCCTTCCTTCCTTCCTTCCTTCCTTCCTTCCTTCCTTCCTTCCTTCCTTCCTTCCTTCCTTCCTTTAAAAGCTTAATTATGGCTTTTATTTTGTTTTACAACTCAGTTGCAACATTCTTGGTCTAGGCTGAATTGGCAAAACACTCCTGAGGCTTTTTCAACAAGAAGATGACTTTAATAAATAATATGTTTCATTTCTTTTAATGCAGCTTATGAGTTGCTTCCTGTTCTATTGTTGTGGTTGCGACATTCCTGAATTGCCGTTAGTTAATCAGTACTGTTCCCTCAGTATGTGCTTTGTTTTCTGTGACTACTTCTTCTTAAGAGCCATTTTTGTTGTGAACAATGGGAACAAATACAGCCATTTTTTAAATGGGGAAACTGTCATTATATTAAGTACATTAAATATATATTTTTATCCTGAGGGCCTAATTCCAGTATGGAAAATATCTTGTAGGGGATTCATTCTTGTGGTGAGTAATGTGAAAAGCAAACTAGATGGGACCAACATCTTTTCCCAGCATGCACCCACCACAAAGGGACACTTGCTTCATCAAATAAGTATAAGGGCTTGTTCAGACAGGGGAATTTGGAGCTGTCTGGCTCATGCTTAAATGTCCATATCTTCAGTGAAATCTATTTCATCCCTGACTTGAACAATCCTTCCATTCACACTGGAGATGTTTATTCTCCATGAGCAGGGTCTAGGTAGGTCTTTGGATCACCAGTCTATTCACAAGAAAGATTTATTTAGTTTATTGCCATTTGTGGAGGCAGCAGTGGAGAACGGTGGTAACGTGGGAAGCTTGATGCAGCAGTACTGGTGCAAAGAAAAAAAACATTGAGGTTAAAGTTGGGAAGACTGAAGGGAAGTAAACCCCCTTTTCTCTGTCTCTCTGTGTAGTCAAGGAATGGCAGTCTCCAATCCAGCAGTGGTTGCTTTTATTTATTTTGCATGTATTTCCTCTCCCCAAGCCACCACTAAGCCAAAATTAATTGCGGGGGGGATGGTGTCATCTGTTAATGAATTGGGAGGAATCCCCCCTTTTCCTACAGCTGTCATTCAGCAGGCCATTGTGACTTGTCACATGGAGAGCAAGCAGTTCAGTATTAAATCCAAGAAGAGGCGGTAGAGCCGACAAGGGGGACCTGACTCGACCCCTACCAGGCCCGCTTCAGCCCTTCCACTGGCAGCTTGCGCTGCAATGGCCTTCTTTCTTTCCTTCTCTCTTTCTCTCTATTCCTTCCTTCCTTCCTCCATCCCTTCCCTCCCTTCCTTCTTTCTCTTTCTCTCCCTTTCTTTCTCTCTTCCCCTTCCTTCCTTTCTCTCTCCATATCCTTTCTCTCTCTCTCTTCCTTCCTTTTTTCTCTCCCTCCCTCCATCCCTTCCTTCCTTCTTTCTCTCTCCCCTTTCCTTCCTTCTCTTTCTTTCTTTCTTTCTTTCTTTCTTTCTTTCTTTCTTTCTTTCTTTCTTTCTTTCTTTTTTCTCTCTCTCCCTCCCTCCCTCCCCTCCATCCTTCCTTCTCTCTCTCCCTTCCTTCCTTCCTTCCTTTTATTCAAGATATCACCTATCTAGCAAATTGCTACACTGGTCAGTGCACAACAGAAAGGAGAAGGGGGGGAAACAAAATTTACAGAAAACATAAATTATATATTTTTAAAAATTTAAAAACTGAGACAAACTCCCTCCTTGCAAGTAACTACAGTAACTGGGTGCAGAATACATGTTGCTCCCTCTGCTACAGGCACCTCCTCCTTCCTCTTCTAACCCAGTTAATTGAGGAGGAGACCCCCAAAAGCCGCTCTTAAAAGCTCTTGTTCTGAGATGCGTTTTCAAGGTGTGAAAGGAAGGCCCCCGGCATAACTCCTGGCGTACCACTTTCCATAAGGACGGTGCCACACCGAGAAGGCTCTGCTTTGAGTTGATGTTTTCCGGCCTCTTGAGGTGTTAACACCTGCAGGCGGGAGGTCTTGAGTCAGACGGGCAGTCGACCCCGGCAGAAAGCCTTCGGAGACATAGGAAAGTTATTTGGCATTTATACCCAAAAAAACCCTCTGCACCTAATGCAGAGTCCATGACTACTGAAAAAAAGTCACCACTCCAGACATTGACCGTTGAACCGTCTTCCTATATACAGTGGTGCCTCGCATAACGAGCGCTTCATTTAACAACAAATCCGCATAGCGGTTGAGTTTTTGCGATTGCAAAATTGTGATGTTTTAAATAGCGAAAAATCGCTTTGCGATGATCGGTAAGCGTTTTGCTTACCGATTTTCGCACAGCGATGTTTTTTCTAACAGCTGATCGGCGGTTCCAAAATGGCCACCAAGTAAAAAAAATGGCCACCCGCTGTGTTTTCGTGCCCATTCCTTGCTTACCGGGCAGCGAAAATGGCGGCCGGATGGAGGATTTTTGCATAACGGTGAGTTTTTTGCCCATAGGAATAACGGTGAGTTTGTTGCCCATAGGAACACATTATATGTGTTTTAATTCATTCCTATGGGCTTTTTTGTTCCGTATAGCGACGATTCCACATAGCGATGATTTTTCCGGAACGGATTATCGTCGCTATGCGGGGCACCACTGTATATAAAATGATATTGCCCAGCACTCCTGGGAGCTGTTGGGAGGTGGAACAAGATAAACCAGGAGGGAGCGGTAAGTCTGAGGCTCA